AGGCTAGGAACAAAAATTAAAATTGCCTAGCAATTGGGGAAGGTAAGAAATCCCAAGATGGAGGGAAAATCCCATTTTTAATAACAAGCAGGTATATTTATCTGGAGTCCATTTGATCTGTGGCAGGTGGGTCCAAGTCTTAGGACTCTTGATTAACCCAAGCTTATGTGCACTTTAGCTTACCAAAGAATGTACCTAAGTAATTACCATTGTATTGAAATCTCTGTTTTAGAAATATAGTTAACAAGTGTCTGTTAGACAACAGGAGTAGACTCATGCTCTACTGACTGAGCTAGCCAGGGTTTTTCAGCATCCTACAGAAAAACACAAATATGCCCTTGTCTTCATATTAATACTGCATCAGGACCATGCCATCTGCTAGTAAGCAAGTCCTTCCATTTCACATAGGCATAAGTTGCAGAGTGATAGGGTATCACAGACACTCAGCAGCAGATAATTCCTTGACATCCATGGTCAAAAAATTCAAAATAAAAAGTGAAGGAGTATATAACTCCCCCATTTTATTTTATGAAACTGATTTTTTAGAACTCTATGGGCTCGTTCCATAATTCCCTGTTCTTGAGGACATGCAAAATTATGTATTTTATATAGATTATAACTCATAATTCATAGTTTACTCATAATTAATTTCTATTTAACATATATAATTTATATTTAACAAATATAATATTTAAGCTATATAAATAATATTTAATGTATGATTTTATTCATTGTATATAATGTATATACTAACATGTATAAATCATATTCCATGTATATAATTTATATTTAACTTGTATAATTTAATTTATACTTAATGTGGATAATTTATATATACATATGCATGTGTGAATATGCATGTAGCTATCAAGGATGGGTCATCTTCTGAGGACACATGAATAAAATATACATTTTATATACATGTTTCAATATATATAATTTCTAACATATAATATATGTTAGTTTATATAATCTAAATTTGGGGTCACCTGTGTGAAAACCAAGAATCCTAGCTCATTCTGCTGCAGCACTCCATGTCACCACCTGAGAGGAGGAATAGGAGGGGACAAGCGCCAGCTACCAGCCACTCAGGACACCATATCCCACTCCATGCCAGCTCCTCCACACCCTCATCATTCCTTTCCCGAGTCCCACTACCACCATCTCCGCCCCTCCAGGGGTTGGCCAGTACTCCTTTGGTAAGTGCTGGGTGAAGGGGCCAAGATTCGGACCAGCAAGGAACTGCCCCCTGTATGTGACCAGCTGCCTCCACAACTCCAGGGCTACTCCCTTTCACTTTCCTTCTCTGAAACCCATTTCTCTCTATGAGCCCTAATCAAGGTCCTAAGGCTAAAAATATCTACAGTCACTTTACCTGGTCCTTGCACATCATGCATGGTCTTTCCCAGACCCTCTTCCAGGTTGCTAAATTTATTGTACCTTCCTCAGGAAACCAAGGACAAATCTTTTCTACAAAATCTAAAATACTACATCATTGCTGTTGCCCTATTTTAGTGAAACATATTCTTTTTTTTCTTTTTTTTTTTAATTTTTTCGCAAATCGTAATTAATTCACACAGGGGTTATAAACACAGAAAGGCAGGATGTGGGGAAGGGAATGACACTGGAGTGTGGGTGTTCAGGGGGAATACAGATATCTTCAGAACCGGGTATTGGCTAGGTGAAGGTTCAGGGGACAATTCACTATGACTCTGCCTATGACTCGCTTGTCCTTACCTAAGTTGATATTGTCTACCAAGGCTACCTATTTACAAGGTCTATGACTACTCAGGCTTATAAATTTTCACAAAAGCTGCCTGTTTACATTAGCTTATAGCCATCTGTTTCAATGTTTTTCCACTGAGACCCAAGACTTGGTGTTAGTATACATGTATGACAGACCTATTGCTGATTTTAGGCCTATGGCTGATTTTAGGCCTACAGTGTGTAAGCAGGGCTGCCCCTCATATCACCTCCCTTCTCTAAGTATAGAAGGGCTGTGGCAATTCTAAACTTGCGAAGGCAGGGATAGAGGCCTGACCTCCAGTATTTGAAGGGGACCTTGTAATGGCTCCAGTCCCCCTGTCGTTGTCCAGTGAGGCATGAGGGCCATACCCATCCCGATGTCTTTTTCCTGGATAGGGGATACTTTTGACATCAACCCCTATGCAATCTGGCTTGTCCCTCAGGGAACCCAGAGAGATATTTTTATCTTTTATTTATATTCCCTTGCAGTGCTTAGCCTCGCAGCCTAAGCAAGAATTCAGATCGCCTGTCAGAGGGGGTTCTGGGTGGCCCCTCTCTGCTTGGTCTAGGGGCAGAAGTCCCCCCTTTTAGGTTGGGTGGAGATAGGTTTTGGAAACACCCTGTATAAAGTAACAACCTCATCTTGAGTCTCGTGGTCCTCCATAGCTAACTTATGATAATGTATCTGAGTAGCTTTTGCTACCAAGTTATTTATCTGTTGTATCACAGAATTAGTCCGCCTATTTGAGGGCCAGGGACCAGCAGAAAAAAGCAAAAAGAATCCAAATAATGGTCCCAAGATGGAAGGAAATAGGATTGACAACCTTGGAGAGGCTGCAAACCAATTCTTGTACCAGCATTCATCTGTCTCTTTCTCGCTCTGATTTTTCTTAGGGCCTTCACTACCTAGTTCATTCTCTCTTTAACCCTCCTTGTCTTGTCTATGTAAAGACAACCTTCTTCTTTGAGGGTTGCACACAGTCAAAAGCTGTATACAGCCTTTTCTATTGTACTAGAGTAAATCAAGTCCAATAAGGATCTTTGCGATTTTAGGAGGTCTCTTCAGATGGCGAAACAAGGGATTTCTTAAGATTAGTGATGTCAATCTCTAACTGTTTGATGTTCTTGTCAGTGGCCCTTCAAAGGTCTGAGTAGTATAAATTTGGAGGCCAGCATCTGGATTAGAACTTCTAACGGCAGACATCATAGGTGATTCATTTTTACCTGGGATGCTGCCTGAGTTAAAGCTCCTGGGAGTCCCTCTTTCTCTCGGTTTTCTGGGGTTGGGTACAGAGCTGCCGCCTGTGACCTGCTCTATGCTCGGGCCCAAACCGGAAGTGTGAAACATATTCTTAAGCACTGACACAAAAAGCATATGTTTCCATTTCCCATTTTTCATTATTTGTTTTCTACTTCTCTTTCTTTTTGACTTTTACTTTTTCTGAGCTCCCTTATCTGTATTTTCCTATGTCTATTGCTCCCAAGAAATTCTCACTGCACTTTACCTTTTGTGAGGGCTTGCTTTTTCCAAGAGCTGTCCACCACTTAATCACCTACTCACAGAGCTCCACAGTTCGGGCTACACCTATACTAGACCCAGGGTGGAACAGCCTATGTGGGGGAAGTGAAGACTAAAGATAGAAAAGGCAGAAAGAAGATGCAAGAGACAGATATGGAAGGGCTGCAGGTCAATACCGCGCTAGCAGCAAGTTTACTTTTCTTAGCCTTTTTATAATTTACAGTGCCATGAGAAGCAAAGCCACAAGCTAACAAAAACAATTGCTGAAATATACACATAAGACATCTCTTTCCATTCAAAAGCCTCCCTATTCATTCCACCAAGGTCAATAGAATCTTCAGCCCCCTTGCCTTGAGCCTCAAGTGCATCTCCCCTTACTGTTCCATGTTTCAGCAGGCTGGGAAATCTGCCAGCAGACCCTGACCTACCTTGACTCTGCCTAGTAGGCAGATCGTTCCTTTTTCTGCTTTAGAGAAGCAGCAAATGGCTTCCAACAGAAGATATTGTGCTTCAATCGTTTACATAATACTTTAATGGACCCAAAATGGGAATCCATGAACATGAACACAAACCATACACAGCACTATGTTTCGGGTTACTCCACTACTGTGGAGTTGAGGAGAGATGGCAGCTAATACAGAACAAAATGGGAACTGCAAAGCATACTAAGAGCTTCTTCTTTTGTTTTGTTTAGAAAGGTGGTTGGTAGTTATTTGAACTAAGGATGTGCTGTGAACAAACAAGAGAAGGACTTTTTGGCAGGTGTCTAACTTTGGGAAAGACCTTGTGGTCTCATGGGAAAACTTTTTTTTCTTCTGGACTTAAAAAGAATGCAGAACAGTTTTGTCTGGCTATATGGGAGAAGCCGTTGAGGCTGATGACAATGGAGAGAGAGGCAGAAAAGTCTTTGGTGTGTGCCACACTCGTTGTATCAAGAAGAATGTGCCGTTAAGTTCAGGCACAACCCCCCCAAAGAAAAAAACAACAAGGAAAGGATGGGAGCCAGTAGGCAGCTGCAGCCCAAAAGGCATTATGCTAGAGAGAAGCTCACATTCTGTTCTCTGAACAGACAGGAAAGTTTTGGCTGACTTTTTGGAAAGTGATTCTGGAGACAGTGTCACCACTAGAAGTAGAATCACAAGCCAGAAGAACATGTAGAACAGAGTACTACTGTCTTCGAGAGATGATGGGCCCCTACTAAGATGTTTTTGAGGAAATCAGAGTGTCCTGAGGGCCAGGAGTCACTCACCAAGCACAGATTTAACTGTCCACAGAGATCAGAAGGAAATGAACGATGGGATCAGAGACAAGCTAGTTGTAGCCAGGATGACTTAAGAAGAGACATTGTCAGGTTTCGTAGTGAGATTAGTTTCTGGAAAATTCTCATGTTGTCTTGTAATGGCCATGCCTACCTGTAATGAACTAATGACATTTTCCAGTTACTTTCAACATCCTCCTCTCAAGACATAAATGGTTGAGCATTGAGAACCACTGGAAAGAAAGCTTACAATGTCTTGGGTGAAGCCATGGAGCCAGGTCTCTGCCCTCCAGAATCTTGAACTGAAGACAATAACCCAGGAGTGACCACGTCAGACACAAAGAGAAAGCACTTGCAGAAACAATGCCTTAGTGGGCTGCTTTAAATGAGGTCATTCTGAGTCTCGAGTGCCTCTTCTTGAAGATGCATGTCAACCCTCTCATTTTCTGTTTTTCTTCCCCATGCCTTCGCTTTCAGAGGAAAAGTCCGGTAAGAGAAACCAGGTCCTTTTCATGTTTTGGACAAACTATATGTATTCCATTCATTTTTATCATCTGAATGTCTAATGACTGTTTAACATCAAAACAATGTTTCCAATATTAAAACCAAGCTTTGTGAGCCAGGACAAGGCCACCCTGGGGACAAGGAAATCAATTGCTAAGAGATACCTTGCCCATTGTTATGGGCTACAAGGTAGATTTTAGGGGGTTACATTTGCCTCGGTCACAGGCATATAGCCCAATATTTATTCATCCAAAGTTTTACTTCTTACAGTTTCTACATTAACTGGTCAAGCTACCTCAAAAATGAAACCATGAACATTTAATTTTTTAATGGACAACCTGCCAGAATCCTGAGTGTTTATGGATCTGGCCTCTGAAGGGAGAACAGTAGAGGATATAGGATTATTTTGTTTTTATTTATTTGTATTTGTTTCACTAAATCAAAATATCCCCTTTGAGGATTGCTGGAGACCAGAAAAGAGATGGTTATAAACTGGAAAATGGCCCCGTGGGTAACAAGTGTTTGCCACCAAGCCTGATGGCCTGAGTTTGAATCCTGGAAACCAAATGGCAGAAGGAAAAAAACTGACTCCTGCAAATTGTTTTCTGACTCTTATACAGATCATGGCATGCATGCACCCACATGCAGACACACACTATGAATATAATAAAACATAAATCACCTTGCTACTTGCTAGTGCCAGTGGGTGGATTTTAGTGACAGCACCAATCTGATACAATAGGACTGCATCTTTTTCTTGGAGCAAACTAGATTTAAAAACAAATTTTAAAATAAAAACAAAAAGAAGAAGAGTAAAGAAAGAAGTTTGTTCTCCTACTTGCATGGTTTCCTGGAATTTGGGAACATGTTCATAGCATGCCCACCCAAGACTGATGTGGATAATGCTAATGTAAAATACAAACGTGGTTTTTCATATCCCCACACACTAAGAGGTGGATGACTATTCCACTAAGCTCGACTAGGGGGATGCTGGGAGCATGTGCTTACCTTGTGCCCTGGCTCCATCTCTACTTCATGAGGAAACTGCTTTCCAAGTCCGTATGTTAGGAGAGAGGTGGAATGGGAGACATAAGGAAACAAAAATGAGTCCAAATCATAAGGTTTACCAAAATGGAATCCAAGTTTTTATATTTCCAAAATTTAAATCAACCAAGTGCAATTTCAACTGTGTCCTGTTGTTACTAAGCTGAACCTCTGTAAATGTGCATGAGCTGAGGGTCACACAGTATGCAAGGCACACCACATCACTGGTGCTCTCAATATAGCCTTATGTGGGGACAACTTTATATATGCTTCTTGACCGTAGATTGTCCTATGAGCAGTTTGGCCAATTCTCATTAAAATTTGCCATTAACACTTTCAAAACTTTTCATTCCTCCTCAGTTTTCCTCTCAAGAAAAAACGTTGTCCTTACAGCAACTAGAACTAGCCATGGTCTCACTTTCATTGTGCCTTCAAGACATTGTGTAACTCTCTGGTTTTCTGAAATGTTCACCATGCTGATTCCTTAGTCAGCTCCCCTGTGAATGAACTGTTGATTACTGGTAGGATCTTAGTTTCATCTCCCCAGTGGGGTTTCAGAAGATCACCTAAGTCTGTTTAACTGGAAACAATCAATAGCTGATATAGCCAACCTTGAAATTCACAAGAACAAGCTTAAATATTGACAAATACAATAGTGAGGAAAATAAGAGGGCTTCCATATACATTACCCTGACCCTAAAGCATTTAAAAGCATCACAATCTGTTGGCCACAACTAGAGTAATAACTTAATGTTAACGAATTCTAATTCTTTCCAAGAAAAATCTGCAATACATGAGGATTGGGGAGATAGCTCAGTTGTTAAAGTGCTTGCTTACAAACACAAGGACCTGATTTAGATCTCCAGAGTTCACATTAAAAAAATTTTTTTAAATCCTGGAGTGGTTGAGTTTCCATATGATCATAGTGCCAATGAGACAGAGATGGGGGAATCACAAATATCAGGGCTTACCTCAAAAATATCCTAGAAATACAAAACAAGGATTACCTCAAAGAGAAAATAAAATTGATCCTCAGAGCCTTTTCATAGTGCACCAGGTGATCAAGGGATTTAAATAATGATTAATTATGAATGGAGAAAATGTGTCCAAAATATTAGCAAATGGATTACAAGGCCTCTGACTGAATGATTCAGGTACGACCAATATTATGAGAACAAATTCTATGTGCTACAAATGTCTGCAATCAAGAAATGCATTAGCCACCTGCAGGCTCTGCGCAACTGAATGGGTGTTTTATTTGGTTGTGCAGTTAAAAATAATTTTGGCCTACATTTAAAAACTAGACCAATTCATTTGTTTAATCTTGTTATTCATTTCTCTTTAAAGAGGAAGCAGCAGTGAGCCCACCTCCTCACACTGCGGGTCCAGTGGCCAGTGCAGCAGAGCTTGGTGATACACGGTTTCCTGACTACACACATCTTCCTATCCCGAGAGTATCTAGACAGGTCTCCCTGCTTCTAGAACAGACCAGCACCAGATCCCAAATCCATTCTCATCTGCCTTTAATGCAAATTCTATGATCCACAGAACACAAAATGTTAAATGTTTTGAACTTTAGGTAAATTGTTTCCCTTTTACAATGCACAGAAGGAAGTCAGGGCCTCACACTTATAACTGATTAGCAGGCAAAGGCCCAGGCCCCAACCCAGCTGGTAATGAGTTTCCTGGCCTTTCTTCCCTGTTGAGATTTTTAATGGTAATGAGTTGCATAAATCCTCTCCACTTGACTACTAGGAATCTCTTGCTTCTAAGGGCTTCAGGAGCTCTTAATCATAGACCTTGAGACTGTCTGTGTCTGTATTTGGCACAGCTTTGAGTCTTTGGGGTTCTTGCTAATCAGCCTGCAACTGCATGTATTTGAACAGTTAGTCTTAGATGGAAAAAAATGTAAATGATGTTTCTAAAGGTTATCACAGGAGCTTTCCCTTTACTAGAAAAATATAAGAATGAACTAATTACTAAAATGTACTTTTAACTCATAGAAAATTTAGATATGGCCTAATTTGAAGTTAATATATTTGGTAATATTTTTAAAATATTTTGTTTAATTTTAAATGGAGAAAGTGTTACATTTATGATTCTGCCTCTATTTGGCCACAGCCTGCATTTTATTTTGCATGAGATACTATAATCTAATATTAGGGGAGTATGTCGCCTTTAGTGTCTTATTTATAGTATTTATCATTTTTGTCATGTAATCTCCACATTTCCTTATTTAAAGAACTTTAGCCTGGTCACTAAACAATAATGTAGCCAAAATATTCATAAAAATGGCATTTTTCCCTTCAAAACAGTATGATAAGCTCAGCCCAAGGATACAGATTATGTCCTTTTGCTCTAACACTACTTAAGTTGCGTCCACACAGAGAGTGGTTAAAAAGGAAGATGGGATGAACATGTAGTGGTGCCTGCAGTTGATACAGTACTAACAGTAAAGTCTAAACTACTAGGAGTCAGGCTGGCTAGCATATGTCTAGCGAACTCCTTTACAAACCTGACCAGTCTCATAAATGGCCATGCCTGGATGGTAGCCCATGCCTTAGCACCCGCCACAATTCACTCCGGGAATCCTCCCACAATATGATACTTGAAATCACAGGAACGGAGGTCTAAAACCTGGTCTCAGTTCTGCTGACTCACTAACTGGGTCTCAGACTTCACTTTGAACAAAGTGTCCACGGCAGCCTCCCAAGTATAAAGGCTATACAAGCTTTTGTTCCAGAGATCAGTTTATCTTTGTCTGAGACCCTTGCCTGTCCCTTTGTTTGAGCTCTTGGCCTCTACTGCAGAAGCTTCTTTTAATCCATCTTAAAAGCAAATATTTGCGTACCCCCTTCACCTCCCACATTTGAGTCCCTCCTGTTGAAGCAGAAAGACCCCAAAAGAGACTCCTGGAACACATGGATGTCAGCTGTCACCAAGGTGGGAGGAGTCAAGACAGCAGCATCTCTGTGCGGTGTGTTCCCCAGACATCACCTGGTCCACAAGTGTTTACTGTTGCCAGGCAGTTTCGCAGTTCCCATATGTATTTATTGGGGGTTATCCATAAGAAGGTGACCCACATCCTCAAATCAAGGTTGCACTTTAAAACAACTATAACTACTACTCCCATGGATGAGCGTTCTAAGAACAATGAAGAGGAAATCCAGAGAGTAGGCTTTCTGTCCTGCCACATCTTTGGAGGCTCCTCAGGCCCTGCTTATAGGAATCCAGGGCATCAGTGATGCTGGTGCATGCTGTTTATAGAAACAGTCTTGTCTAGGCTATCTAGATATCCTCTAAGTCCCTTCTCCAAATATTCTGGAGAGAAACTGCTTTTGACAAGACATTATAATATATCATCAATGGGGATTCTATATATCCCTACCTTGTTCTTATGGATAGATTTTTTTTAAAAAGTCCACCACAATAGCAAAGATGTATACAGTGGTCTCTCTTTGGGTTTCTCCAAAGCCTTCTGTGGCTTCATGAGCCCTAATCACATGCCTGCCTGCCTGCCTGCCTGCCTCCCTGCCTGCCTGGCTCTGACCTGCTGATTCAGAGTGTGTGGTCAGTAGTTGTTTTGAAGTCTTCTGTTACCCACTCCTGTTGACTGATCCATCATTCTCTGACTAGGTGTCTGTTCTCTCTTCCTTTTTGCTGATCACAGAGGCGCAGCCCGGTAAGAACTCTCAACATTTTAAACCTTAAACGTGTAGAGGGAGGTGGCCAAGTTGGTTTCCCATTACCCTTATGATCACCCAGTGTACAAGAAGCCAATGAACTGGGTTCACTGGTTGGAAACTTCACTGACTATCTAAAATTAAAGGCATAGTTTAGAATGATGGTTGGAAACTTCGCTGACTGTCTAAAATTAAAGGCATAGTTTAGAATTATCAAAGTATCTTTCCATAAAAAACTAAATTAGTGCTGAGTAGTGTACATCTGGTATATGATATACAGATATTTACAATGCGTGTGATGATGTTGATGATGATGGTGGTGGTGGTGGTGGTGGTGGTGGTGGTTGTAATGATAGGTAATAATGAAGAAGAGGAGAAGAAATTTATTCAGAAGTAATAAATAATGATAATGATGATGATGATGAAGATGATGATGTAAGGCTAGAAAAATGGCTCAATGATGAAGTACCTGTAGAGAACCTGAATTAAGTTCCCAAAGCACACATTGGCCAGCTCGCAGCTGCCTGTAACTCCAGCCCTGGGGAATCTGCCCTGTTCTTGCCTCTGCATGACCTGCACTCACATGCACGTGCCCTCACACACATACATACGTAATTTTAAAATAATAAAAGACTTTTTAAAATAGTAATGAAACTGAAGAAAGGAATTTTTAAATATTATTTTTAAACCCAAATTCAAGATATGCCCTTGGACCATAGCTTACATTGGTCAGTACACACTGATACGCATTCATAGCTCACCCTGAGAAAGGGAGGCATGCTCCCTAAGATGTCACATTATTCAAAATCCCATCATTTTAGACAACTTTGGCAAAATATCCATCATGGTAGTCTATATTTTTCAAAAGAAAATCAGCTGTTTTCCTCAGATCAAAGAATCAGAAGAATTTAAAATAATATAGAAGACTCTTTTCTGTTTGAAATAACCCATCTACCTAATCAGTCCCTTCGGAGATGGTATGGGAGGTGTGGTGGTGCACACTTATAACCCCAGCACTCGGGACTCTAGAGCAAGAAATCCTTGCAAGTTCAGAGCTGTCTTGGCTACATAGTGAGCACAAGTCCACTTGGGAATACTTAGGAAAATCCTATCTCAGAGAGAAGAGAGGGAGAGAGGCGGAAAGGAGAGGGGAGATCTGAGAGGAGAGAGAGCTTGGGAAGAGATACAGAGAGAGAGAGACAGAGAGGGACACAGACACGGGGGGGGGGGGGGAAGCTCTAAGCTTGCACCAATCAGTAATCTACTACTATTTGAGGTAAATACCTTCCTACACAGGGGACATGCTGCTGGTTTTCAGTTTAAGCTATGAGATGGTATCTTCAGATCCAGAGTGTGATAATTCTGACCGTCATTGAGTGCTTTCTCAAATTGTGAGAAGTCACTGATATGGAATGAATTCATTAATTCAAAATGACAAATAATTCACTAATTCATATATGTACATGTTTATATATATATACATATATGTATATATATATATGTGTGTGTGTGTGTATGAATATGTATGCACACTGTGTGTGTGTGTGTGTGTGTGTGTGTGTGTGTGTAGTCATTGAAATGAAAACATGGTCACTTGAGGTTTCAGTCAATGTGTGTCCTTTCTGGATGTGGACTCTGTGGTCCCAGTTCCTCTTGACTTGTCATGCTTCAGCCTTGGGTCCTCAAGGGCTATGTGCCACACACCCAGCTGACAGTGAGACTCCTTCCTATTGGGCTGGCTTGTTGCTGCAGGCCATTTAGAATCTATTCCTTTGTAATTGCATTATTCCTTCTCATTTCAAAATAGCCAAGGCTTCCTGTGTGTTTCTTCAGTGTCCGGCCTCCACTTAACTCGCCCATTGCTGAGGTTACGGGAGCTCCCTTGCTGACTTTCAATGATGAGTGTCTATTCAAGGGATGAGTACACATAGTACTGGGTGAATGCTGAAGAGTGGCCCTCTTGCTTCCTTGGGTATTGCAATTCTAATAACATAAGCAGTGTAGATAGATCTGAAGGGCTCCCAATGAGGCTCTGCTATCTCCTATTTGCTAGCTCACAGTTCTCACAGTATGATGCAGGTCCCACTCCTTCCATCAGCTCATTACTGTTGGGATTCAGTACTTGAACCTCTGTGCCTCTCTACCTTTAGACTTTAAGGCAGTTCTCCCATCTGAGGGTCCACAACACAGAAAGAACATTTCAAGTCTGCTCCAACAATTCATTCTTCGGTCATTTGTCTATATATCCCCTGTATTCGAACTTCCATAATGAGCAAAGCAGGTTGAAATCAGCCGATTTACTTCATTACTAATCGCGTGATCATTCTCTGTGCAGCACACAGTAAGACCAAACATATTGTCTTGTTTTCAAGCAAAATAAACTAGAAAATGTAGTCTGTGGGATTAAGCCACCCACCAAGAATCATTTAATGGATCTGTTCTTACTCAAACTGTTCTGTCATTAATGGATTCGAATTGGGACAGGAAAAATATCTGACTTGCTAGCTCTAGGAAAGATGAAATGCATCCCACGAGTCTTCTGTAAAGTGCTAAAGCATGCCCTACACTGTTGACATTATAATCTGGAGAACACAGCCCAGACGCTCCTTCCCCCACAGTGAGAAAGGTAGGAATGGGTGTGTGCCTCTTGGACCTTTTCCTTGTATTCCACCATCCCCACCTTTCTCAGAAGGCGAGCCATGCCCTGCCTCCTTCCAGAAAGAACCATGCTAAGAACCTTTCACAGCTTCTGACTTTTAGTCCATGAGTCGCTTTTCTTGTTATGTGGATACATTTATGCCCAAACTGCAGCTCTAGAGGTGATCGGCATGGACGCTCCCTGCCGACGCTGTTTGCGTTCTGAAGAGCCTTTCAGGAAAAGAGAGTTCCTCGTTGGCTGACTGGTGGCAAGCAGAGACAGGAAGTCAAAGGAGAAGATAGGGAGAGAGGGTGGAGCTTCTGGGCTCCCCGAGTAAACCACTCCTGTTCCGTGAGACATAAGTAATCCGTAATCGTCACCACTCGTTGGTTCTGATGACTGTACTAACCGATTCAGGATCCTGTCAGACCGGGAGCAGACAGTACTCACACTCTAAAATTCTCAAAGACCGAACATTTGATAAGTTTGGATTCTTATTGCTAGAGTTCAAGGGGATCCTTTGTGTTAGAGACTAATTCGTGTCCTTACTAAATCCACCCAGGTAAGGGACTTGCTCATTCTGGTGACTTAGAGACCCCTCTCCCTCTTAGTCATGATACAGGAACATGAGAAGCTGCTATGTGTGCAGGTACAGGTTCCAACTTCAATGTGGTTTTGAGACAAATTATCTTTTTCCCAACCTGGGGTATCTCAGAGTTCAGTTTAATTGAAATGACAGAAATAATACATATTGTACATAACATATCTGTGGTCTTAAGCCTTATAGTGTTTATTTCTAATTCTAGGGTGCAATTAAAAGGAACTTATCCAGTAAGTATATCTTAGCTCCCAGAAATAGAGTATGGCTTGGCAGAAGGAATAGTTCCTTGGATCGTGGAGTATATTTGCATTCAAATTGCAGTTTGGGGAATTGATTTTTAAGGCTTCAAAAAAACCATTTACAGTGAAGATTTCTTTTTTGATAGAGGGTATCTGGTTCTGAATAATGCTCAAATTGTCAAAACCAATATGTTTTTGGAAAAACACTGGTGCTTCCTTCCTTATATTTGCCAGCTCTGGTTGTATCTTTAAACCTAGTTGACTTGATCAACTGTATTTGATTAGACACTCTTGCTAGGGGGTGGGAAGAAGGGACAGCAGAAGGAACTAAAGGCAGATACAACTTATTCATTCTTACAGTATTGGCTGTAAAATGTCCAGCCCACTCAAGTGAGATATATGATACAGATAATCATCTATAGGGTCTGCTACCCCTCCTGCCATATGCAATGTATCCTACGAAAATCTAAATTCATTCTTAAAGGCGCACCATTTTCTTGTCATGAAAAGAGCAGGCTGAGGACTGGATCTGTGTACTATGGGCATGTGGCCTGGATTATTATTCCCTCATGGTAACTGAGAACCAGAACCCATCCAGGCAGCAGGCATTTGAAGAATGGTAGGCTATCCCTCTGAGCTCTACAGCATACAGTCTTCAACTATTGGCTCGTTTATGGTTGTTCTTTGGTTAATGAGGTTTCACAAATGCCAGGGAAATCCTATTACACATGACAGATATATGGCTGCCACACTGCCAGGAGAGAGGGTTTGTTTTGCAGTTTTCACATTAAGTTGCTTATTGATAAGACTTAAATCTCTTAAGTGTTCTCAAACATAGCTCATATGACACACCAGAAGAAACTGCTATGTACCTAAAAAGGTGCTTTGTCCTGTGTGTCAGGTGAAGAAGTCGCAAGACCCAGGCGTTCCACCCCAACTCCAGAACTTACAAGGTGAGCACAGAAGATACTGGCTGCATTTTACTAACCATGAACTTTTAACTTTGAACTTTTAACTGTTCAGCAAATATTCTCTAGGCCTCTGTGAATGAAGGACCTAACATATGTGTGAGTTCATATATCCCTAGCTAGGGCCAAATATGCTGTCATTTCTCATACATGCAGCCCAAAGGGGAAACTGTTTAAGTGCCTGCATTTGTCTATAGCAGAATTATGGTCTACTCACTGATTAGAAGACTCGAGTTCTTCATAAAGAAGACTTTTAACTTCCGGAGTGTTCATCTGAGATACATTATATTGCCCTAAAAAAAAAAAAGAAGTCTGACAGTTGAATAGGCTTTCACGATGCATTCCAAGTTCCATACCAAAAGAACCTCCTATTTTGTTGTTCTTCCTGCACCCTGTCCCCCACACCACAAATTATTGTACTCCACCGTGGAGTCTTTGAGTGATGTGTTATACAGATATTGTTTCCCAAAGTGATAGTTAGCTGCAGCTCTTAAAAATTTAGATTCTTTGCTGTCTCATCTTTTACCAGCCTCTCGCCTCTCCTCTTCCACCCTCACCTGTATGACACTCAGACACTCACACAGAAGTCATTAGGCTCCCTGTCAGGAATCAGGTCTGGAGAAGTCATGGAAGCAAGTATACAACATTTGCTCAATAATCAACTCATAATTAAGATGAAAGATGAGATATCTCAATACCCTGTCTAAGATGCACTTGGTTCGGAACATCACTAGATTGTTAAGTGGGAGGGGCAAGATGAAATTAAAAGCAAAGGGTCCCAGGTTTCTTTTATTCTATCACAAACTTCCTGGACACTCCTTAAATAGCCCCATGCCTGACTTTCATTAAAATGTGTTAACTACAAGAAGAAGTAAGGTGATGCCTTGGTTGGGGTTTCTATTGCTGTGATAAAATACTATGACCAAACAGAACTCAAGGAGGAAAAGGTTTAACAGCCCATCAACAAAAGAAGTCGAGGTAGAAGCCTAGAGGCCATGGAGGGATGCTGCTTACTGGCCTGCTCCTCATGGCTTGCTCTGACTATTTTATTCCAGGACCCAAGATCACCAGCTCAGGGATGAATCCACTCACAATAGACTGGGCTCTCGTCTCAATTATCAGTCAAGAAATGACCCTGCAAACCAATCCTATAGAGGCATTTTCTCAATTAAGATTCTTTCTTCCCAGATGACCCCAGCTTTTGTCAAGCTGACCTAAAAACTAGCCAGTACAAGTAATGACAAGTATAGATTTTTAGGCCACGCATGTTGGCACGGACCTGTAACCCGAGCACACAGGAGGCAATGGCATGAAGATAGTGAGTTAAATTTAAGACAACCTGGGTTTTATAAGAAACTGTCTCAAAACCATGAAAAGTAAATATGTGTAGTTTTTAGTTCATGTGACAGGAAGGTGTCTTGTCATAAACTGGCATCTGTAATATGTCACATCTATATGTAAACACTTACCCTTTGACAGCATCTTCTCCTTCATTGTGCTTCTGTTGGCACTGCATATGAGCCTCTATTAGGAGCACCGGCTCTTATCTCCCGCCATGACCCTTTTGCATGTGACATCTTCACTCTGTACTTTGTAAGCCCAACAGAAGCTTCATACACACGTGTACATGCCTGCGCACACAAATGCACATTTGTTTAAACAAGGAAAGTGGGAGTTTGTGTATGATTTCAAACATTCATTTTTTATCCTTCTCTCTGTATATTCTGCCCCTCTCCCCCCCAAAAAAAATCATGATTTAGCAAGAAGCCTCTGGATGACACTCTGGCCCTTGCTCCCCTCTTCGGTCCACCATTAGAATCAGCTTTTGATGAGCAGAAGACGGAAGGTAGGGAACCGTATGTCTACAGCACTGCTGTCTCGTTACTTCTCCAAGGTAAACGTACAGAGCTGAAGTGTATTGTGAATGTGCCTTCAGACCATCATGGTGGAGCAAAAGCTCCGAGAGTGCTCTCAGTTTAATTGGAAAACATCTATTATTTTAGGATTTGAGATTTTACTCCCAGGATAACTGATGGCTAACAAATTTACTCCTGAAAACAGGCCAGTAAAAGTGAGTGCAGATCTATACACATCCTTATGGGGTAAACGCAGTCAGAGAGGTATGAGCATGAGTGTTAATGGACAGTGGCCTTCTCACCCCCGGGAGGGAGGTCTCCTTGGTGCCATTCACCGTTTTCCAGCTCATCAGGGCAGTGTCAGTGGGATAGCGCACAGGTCTATGGGCTCAAGACCCAGGAAGCACTGAAAACCATTTAGCAATGCTATGAAAGAAATATCTTTATTTCTGTTATTAGCTTGAGTTTGCCTACTAAATACATATCCCACAGTTTAAAATTAACCATGTTTTTGAAAAGCTATAAATAATGTATATTTTATTGATATGAACTACCCCCTTTAAAAATCTATTCTATATTTGAATTTTATTTATGCCCGCCACATAATATTTCCAAAAATGGCCTTGATATTATTGAATGTCATTATAAAAAATTGACTTAAAACTCTAAATTAGGGCTAGATATAGCTCCACATTTATGGAAATATGGCTAAGAGCACAGGCTACACTTACAGAGGACTCAAATTAAGTTCTCAGTACTCATATTTAACAGCTCACAACTGCCTGTAACTCCAGCTCCAGGGCACTCAGCACTTTCTTCTTAACTCCAAAGGCATCTGCATTTACATGCCCATGCCCATAGACAGATATACATATACATGTACATATAATTTAAAAATACTATCTTTTCTGTGATAAGATAGTAACTCTCTAGGTCCATTAGAGAAATATCCTTAAGACTTACCAGGTATAGTGGAGCATATCTTTAATTCCAGCACTTGGGAGGCAGAGGCAGACAGACCTCTGTGGGTTCTAGTCCAGCCTGGTCTACAGAGTGAGTTCCAGGACATCCAGAGCTACATAGTGAGACCCTGTCACAAAAGAAAAAAAAATCACATAGTAAGTAGACAAGTAGACTAAGCTAAAGTAGCAAAGAGATTTCAAAGTTCAGTAATGAAGGCAGAATTTATTTCTTGCTAACAATATAAAGGTAACCACAGGGTGGCAGGGCTATTCTCTAACCATCAATGTTTGCCTTCATCTCTGAGTTCAAGGACTTGCTCCAGCTCTTACCATTCCAGAAGGTGCCAAAGCACTTACTGACACCTGTCACAAGAACAAAGTCTAAATTCTAAACAGATCACTTTTAACCAAAGTGCATTGCAGAGAATTTGGTGTAACGTGGGCAACTAAAACTCCCTTTTCTGTGAAGACTGGTTCTGTAGCAGCCAGCTATGCCTGGGAGCTTTCAGTGATATAGTGAGACATTTATAAAATGCATTCCTAAAGCCTCTCTTGGTGACATTACACTTGTAACCTAGAACTATACAAACTGTAGCCTTGGGGGAAGGCTGTCGTTTGTATTACTAAGTCATTTATGGTCAGTCTCATTTTTCATACATAATTGTTAGGCAACAAGTGGTGAGAACTGGTATGTTGTGTTTGAATTTGGCCATTTAAGGAATTCCATAAGTATACAAAAATATCTCCACTGAAAATAGAAATGGTTTTCTAAAATCTAGGTTGTCTCCCCAACATTGAGCCTGTGGAAGCAATGCTGTTCCCGGCACTCCCTGCATGGAAGCCCGTGATATATATCTAGACTCTCTGAGGAGTCTGGCTTGACTGTCCTTTTGGCTTTAGCCACTGAACTCCTGCAAAGTTCTGGCATTTATACCAACCACACAAGGCCTTCCTCTGGCCAACCTTCTCTTTCTTATCAGTTCAGACAAAATCTGCTACTTCAGACTGATTTTACTATCGTTACTATATGCGTTGGACATAAATAAAATCCAAATATAGAATAGATCTTTTCAAAGGAAGTATCTTATATCAGAATATACATTATAGCTCTTCAAAATGATGCCTAATTTTAAAGATTTAAATACTTAATTGTAGAATATGTATTCAGTAGGCAACTCAAAACTAGTGGCAGAAATGAAGATCTTTCTCTCATAGCATTGCTAAGTGGTTGGCAGTGTTTCCTGGGTAGTAACGTTGGCTGCTTAGAAGACCGAGGAAGCAAAGAGCTGTGGCTGCATCAGGTCTCGGCTCCTCTGCTTTTTCTATGGACATTTTTGGTTTTTTTTGTTTTGTTTTGTTTTGTTTTTGTTTTTGTTTTTGTTTTGGGGGGGGTTGCTCTCCTAAACGGCATTGACTTTTACCACGTGGTGGTGCTTTTAGAATGAAATACAAAATAGCAGCTACTGGCCTCATATGAGCACTTCAGTACCTTTTCCATGCATACATGTGTTTGTATCCCGCCACCTTCTTCATCCCTTTCCAGTTGAATAATATCTTCCTGAGGTTATTATAGTCTCCCCTTCCCACTGTGGGAGAAACGCTCAGAGGAGTTTAATGACTTGCCCAAGATTCTACAGTAATCTAGAAGCTACAGTGAAGTCCACATCCAACTTGTTTCCTCCACTGCACAATGAATAGCAATGTGCTTGCTGAAAAAGACCTGATTTACACATGAACAGCAGCAAAACAAGGAAGAAAAATAATGTTTTAAATTCAGTGCTCTTAGACCAATACCTAGTTACCTAGATCTGTTTCACACATCTAAGGAACTATCATTTTCTGGTTGCTGGGCTGGAGAGATGGCTCAGTGTTTAAAAGCACTGGTTGTTCTTTCAGACAACCTGGGTTTAATTCCCTGCACCCGCATGGTAACTCATAACCATCTGTAACTCCAGTTCCAGGGGATCCAATTCCCTCTTCCAGCCTTTTCAGGAACCAGGCACACACATGGCACACAGACATACATGAAGGCAAAACACCCATACACACAAAATAAAAATAATTTATTTTTTAAAAATGTTCTGGTTCTCTCAAGATGTTCAACAAGCATCTTTAGAATAATTATTCCTCTTTATGAGGCTGTAAAGGGTTAAGAGCCTGAACAATCTTTAAAAATAGGAACCACTGCACAGAATCCAGATAGTTTCAACACTGAAGTATATTCATAGAACTCTTTAAATAAACCAGCTAACAACAAAATAACTTTTTGAAGTAACTTCTACAATTTTGGAATGGTACAGAAATGGGGACAGTATGTATAGTGGTATCTGCAATGTCCTTAGGTGACCAACCAGGAAGAAAATGTAGGTTCTAACTGGGTTTTCACTTAACTTAGCTCCATGTATACACACACAGATACTGCTTGCTCCCACACACACCATGCTTCTAGTCCTGTTCTCTGCCTAAAGAGTCTGCGGGTCATCAGAACACTCCTAAACTTCTAGGACGAGGGAAGGCGTGGGGATCATGTTTTAAAGCTCAACTTTATTGAAGTCCTAAAACTCCTGTTGGAACTTACTCTGAGGAATTCTATTTTTTGTGTTTCTAGTTCTTTTAGATCAGCCTGAGATATGGGGTTCAGGCCAACCAATTAACCCAAGCATGGAGTCGCCAAAGCTAGCAAGACCTTTTCCCACTGGAAGTAAGTTATGTGTCTACTCATCTTGCTTTCTGACTGCATAGTAAAAATTTTAGACAACTCCTAGAAGGCCTGGATCAATAATATTTGAATTTAAAAAGACATTACTATCTAACAGACTAGATCAGGTTATTTAAGCTGGGATATAGTAACAAAATGAAGTGACATTGTTAATCTTGAGGCAACCCCTCTTACGACAATCTTACGTGCCCTGTTGTTCATCCATCTTTTCTGTGTAGCTAGCTATAGACAAATATGAAGTTAAGCTGAAGGCACTAGACAGCCAACACAAGCACTAAACAAGTCTGACTGGGTCTCTTCTAGTCCCAAGTGAACAACTGAGACTGCAACAGGGCAGAAGGAGCCCACAGACAGGAAAGATCTCCTGGAAAACAAGACAAGCAGGCTCGAAAGCACAGAGATACTGTAATGAGACCAGGCCAGTTGTGCTGGCTCTGGCCCAGGTGACTGGAGAAGGTCCCAAGAGGCCTTGTAAATCCCTTACCTGTGTTGAACTGGACTAGCTGAGCTGAATGAGTTCCTCACTAGATCAATCCAGCTGCTCATGGACTTATGAAGTCTCCATCAATAGAAACACACAGCAGGATGTGTATAGAGGAACTCCTTGGAATAGTGATGGGAGGAGTGGAGTTTAAAGAAAGATATCTGAGGAGTTAAGGAGTTTAGAGGGTCTTGTTTATGCATCGATACTCACCAACAAGTACTTTCTCTAGCCCAGCATCTTCGGGGCTTCCTTTTTGGTATTTAAAATTAACCATAGGAATTAGCCAAGGGGATTTAAAATTAAAGACTAAAAGGTTATTTGCTGGGAATGTAAAGCCATGTGATCCAGCCTTTGCAAAAACTATTTTCCTCAAAATAGTTAGAAAAGCAAGAGTCAGCAGCTTTTCTCAAACCTCTGAACTATGAAGGGTCTATCAGAGATGGTTTGAACCATGATTCTGGGTGCTGCTTCTTCATGCATTTGGAATACAATATACAATGCCAATGCAAAGTTCCTTGCGGGTGGGGGGACACCTTCCATTACAGATATGAGCTATCCATACTATTCCTAGAATACTCTTAAGTAGCAAGACAATTTAAAAAGTCATGTTTATGGTGATAATGAGTTGGAGCTTTAGAGTTGTGAACTGCAGATTCTGCATGTCCACTTAGCACAGCCAAGACTGCTGTTTAATGGATGGGCATCCTCTAGTTCTGCTTGCTTTGTGGTTACAGTATGCATTCTCCTCTTCAGTGTATCTGATTTACATTATTTAGTGATTACCACCTTGACTTTTTATAGAGGTGATAAGTAAGGAGCAGAATCTCTGATTAGCTGCTAACTTTATGAAAAATATTCATTCGTGGAAGAATTTTCGACAGCTAATACTAAGAACCACCTATCTGGCTGGAGAGATGACTCTGTGGTTTTAAAGCACTTGCTGCTCTTGTAGAGGACCTGGGTTTAGTTCACATCACCCTCTTGGCTGCTCACAACTCTCTGTAACTCCAACCCATAGGATTGGACACTCTTCTGACTGGCATGGGCACTCACATTGTCACACACACATGCAGGCAAACACTTACACACATAAAATGAAATTATTTTAAAGAATTACTTATCCATGAGCTTTAGAAAAGGATGGATAATAGCAGCTGAGCGGGAAGAAACAATCATAGACAGGTTCCTAAGAGCTGTGGGTTGTACCAAACCCTATAGGTTCCTGGTTTTTCTTATTAAACATGCAGTGGTGATAAAGTTTAGTTTTTAAATTAGAAATATAATCAATAACTACTTCCATTCTATTATGTGTGGTTTATTATACAAAAATAACTTTATAATAAAGTAGAGAAATTACAAGAGCAAAAAAAAGAAAGGAGGGATATAATTATGTAATATTATTATATATTATATTATCTTAAAATTATTCAACATAGTATAATATATTATATATTATATCCTGCCTTTCTATCTTTATGTGTATAAAATAGTACTGGGGGTGAAGAGGAGAGGAAGTTCAGGAAGACACTCTTCCTGGGGTGCAAAGGGTGGAGAGGACTAGTCAGATCTTCCTAGCTTTGGGCTCACTTGGATCATTCTGATCTCAGGATATGAAAAATGAGTCCACACTTAGGTTCACAGCTGAAGTTAAGGAGGGCTTATGACAATTGTGTGAACTCCTGAATCTACCAAACATGACAGATGAGAGAATAACATATATTTAAAGAGAAAAAGATCATTTACCTATTGGAAGAATAATTCCTGATTTTATCTACAAAATGAGAAATGCTATTTGAAAGGATGAATCTTTTGGTAGAGGCCACAGTGTTCTGCTTTTTTTTTTTAATCTTAGGATTTTATTCATAAGAGTATCTATTGGGAATATTTATTTTCTGATATTTATTCTTTGACCCATCACACCATTCCTCACTTCCTAAGACATACTAAGATTGTAAAAACATAGTGCTACAAAGTCTGTCCAGATCCACTGTATCCAGCCTGGATATAAACCCCTCCGTGGAGCCCCCTTGGGACCATTATTGTTTCCCTGCTCACACCCTGCACTGGAGCTATGTGTGACCAGGATTCATGTTCAGTCACAGTTCCTCCTGAGCAGAGCCAGTGTTTTCTCAGCACAGTGCCCCTGACTCCTAGTAAACGGACTGAACTTAACTGTACCCTGATGTTTGTTGAATGAATAAAATGTTGATGTTGTTGTTTACTGCCTTTTGAAGAACTCCCGTGGGCATAAGATGGAGGAGTCTGAGTGTGTCTGTCTCTTGGTGTCCTAGTCAGGGTCATCCCTGCTGCAGCGAAGCACCACCACCAAAGGCAACCTGGAAGGAAAGAGTTTATTTAGCTTATACGTCCTGAATCACCGGCCACTGAGAGAAGCCAAGGAAGGAACTCAAACAGGGTAGAAATCTGGAGACAAGAGCTGATACAGATGCCATGGAGGAGTGCTGCTTATTGGCTTGCTTCCCATGGCTTGTTCAGCCTGCTTTCTTATAGCACCTAGGAGCACCAGCTCAGGGGTGGCCCTAGGCACAATGGGCTGGGCCTTTGCACAACAATTACTAATTTAAAAAAAAAATAGCTCTACCAACTTGCCTGCAGCCCTATCTTATGGAGCCATGTTTTCAATTGAGCTTTCCTCTTCTCCAGTGAGTCTGGCTTGTATGTAGTTGACATAAATTAGCCAGCACACTTGGTGTTGCCATTTTTAACATTTAGACCATGACTAGCCCATTTCCAAGACTAGGGGTATAGATGAAAGCCTAAATCATAAGTCCTTTACTTTGCTGTATAATTTTGGAAGAATGTGATCACTGACACGTTGCTTCTCTCTTTATAGCACCTCCACCTCTGCCTCCAAAAACTGTACCAGCCACCCCACCTCGAACAGGCTCCCCCTTAACAGTTGCAACAGGTAAACTAGAATCTTTACCGTTCTGAGATGATGTGGCAAACACAGCCACAGCCTTGGACTGCAACGTGCCCTTGATGTTGGAAAGTGCAGGCTGTGCTAAAAAACCGCACAGTATTGGTGTTGAATTTCAATTTCACTGCAAGTTAATGTGCTGACTCACTGTAAGGTACACTCTCGGTCTTCATGGGTACTCACACGCTCGGGTTTTCTTCAGTGTATGTGATGAGGGCTGCACAGAATAGAGAGTAAAATAGCCGTAAGACAAAAAGTCAACTGTTTGGTTTACTCCATGTCTTGACTGTGTTGGCTCTCATTTGAATGATTTGAAAATGAAGTCTCAATGCACAGTTTGAATCTTTCAAGTCTTTAAGCCTTTTGTTAAAACTAACACATATGAATGCTTAGTGTTTAAAAGCCTTAGTGGGTCCCAGAATGAGCCATATATTGGTAGAGGGGTTATTGTCCCCAGTGGCCGTTCATATATTTAGTTATTTCACTGCAAAATCTGGGGTAATCATTATAAAATATGGCAAGGAATTGCTGTAAACTATTTTATACATATCATTTCTGAGGCACCACTTTTCCTTCCTATAAAAATCAATACTATGCATTCATTCAATTTATAATCTGCCGGGTCTTATTGGACAAGCAATTCAAAAATGGTGATGGTGATTTTATTTACTTGGGCCTTAGAATATGGCTCTTTATCACCTTTGGAGTCCTGTAGCAGGTTTATACTTGGCTGTCTCGGCAGCCTGGCAAATTTGATAGAGACAGAACAGGGTATTTATCAGAGAAACAGAAAGTTAGGCACAGTCATTTATGAAATATATACTGACTCAATCCCAATAGAGAGGCATCAAAACCATCATAAACAAGCGAGTTCAGCTGTTTGGAGACCCTGTGTTTCCACATAAACTGTGACAGTAACAAAATTATAACTTATTGCCAGCCATGTGCAATGCTCCTTCATTTATCTGTGGCTGTGAAGCCTTGGAAAGTAACTCCTTTCCAAATGGAAATATGGAAATACCAAGCCAGTGCTTATAGCCCATGAGCCATTTACAAGTAAAATGAGGTCTGGCCATGCCTTTCAGCTATTTAGGTAACAACTTCTAATTTGAATAACCTCCTTTATTGTTTAAAGGACAGAAAAAGGACTATTCTCCAAATTGTTATTATCAAATATTTTATACTTCACTGAAGAAGTTGGTTTTTAATTTTTCCATATTAAATTTGATACATATTGAAAAGAATATACTGGTAACATTTAAGCAAAATGAAATATTCTGCATCATACTTGAGAAAGCTATGCATTGCAGCCACTACTGGTTTGTTAACAAGCTTGGCTTTGTGAGAAAAAAATTCTAAAGATGTTTGATGGTGTTTTTCTCCTCTGTTAAGCAGGAACACATATAACATTTCTAATCAGTAGCAAATGCCTTGCTGTGCCCCCTGTGTGTGTTGTGTATGGAGTGTGGTGTGTGTGTTTGTACGTATCCATGTGAGGTTACCGTCTTAAGTACACTTTGTGTTTCTGGAATATTTAAAGTAAACCTATAGCTAAATGTGATGTCCTGTTCTGTTTTGCTTTGTCTTTTTTTTCCAATTGTCAGAAATTATCCGTAGTTCCACCAAACATTGTTTTACACCCTAGACTGTAAAGATGAGCATGGTTTTCAGAGCTCAAATCTTTGTGGCCAGCGTTTTATGTGTGTTCAGCAGACCAGCTTTTCAGAAGTGTCCTCCCCTTGGGTAGCTGCCCTTTCAGAGCCTGAAGGTTGCTGTGACCCTCATACTATCTTTTCAAAATGATCACCACTACTCCACTTGAGAGGAGTATCATGCTCCAAATTTTAAATAATGGGAAGGTGGTAAGCCACAGTCACCTTACAAAGGAGTGAGCAGTAGCGCAGAAATGTGATGCTCCTGTATTGAAGTGAGCATCTCCCTGCCCCTCGACCTTCAGTGTGTAATTCAATAAAGGTAATTTTACACCATGAAGGTATAAAATTTGAGGCACCCTACAAGGTGCAAATACACCTGCTAAGCTTTGCCTCCTCCCTCCTTCGAGCCCCTATACAGATAAATAGTAAGAGTTAATAAAATTTAAAATCAACTACTTTAACCACAGGAAATGACCAGGCAGCCACAGAGGCCAAAATTGAGAAACTTCCATCCATCAGTGACCTGGACAGCATTTTTGGGCCAGTGTTGTCCCCCAAGTCTGTTGCTGTTAATACTGAAGAGAAGTGGGTCCATTTCTCTGATGCATCCCCGGAACATGTTACTCCAGAGTTGACTCCAAGGGAAAAGGTGGTGACCCCACCAGCCGCATCAGACATCCCAGCTGACTCCCCAGCTCCAGGCCCACCTGGCCCCCCAGGCTCTGCAGGTCCCCCAGGGCCTCCTGGTCCTCGTCATGTACCATCTCCGCTCAATTTAGAAGAAGTCCAGAAGAAAGTCGCTGAGCAGACCTTCATTAAAGATGATTACTTAGAAACGCTCTCATCTCCTAAAGAGTGTGGGTTGGGACAGAGAGCAACTCCACCTCCCCCACCACCACCCACCTACAGGACTGTGGTTTCGTCCCCCGGACCTGGCTCGGGCAGTGGTACGGGGACCACCAGTGGTATGTCTTACTGTTTGAGTGTGCTTCGTGTGCTGGGGAATGGCCGTGGCTGCTGCGATGCGAGAGCAACACCCTCCTCCTGCCTGGCAACTGGCTGTAGGGCTTCTGCCATTCCTCCTTTGATCTGGTGTCCTGTGGCCCTGTGGCATGTTCTAGTCCATTGAATGCTCGAGTTGAGTCCAAGCCTGTGGTTGTGTCCTGTCCTGCACTCCCAACCCTGGGAGTGCCCTGACTCGTACCCTACAGTTAGGAGGTCTGGAGGGGGTTGGTTTGGTTTTTTTATAAAGAAAGCTGTGATGTCATTGTTTAGAATTCCAGAAAGTTCTAGAAGGATAGATGTCATAGCATAGATTACAGGTTAAATGTCTGATTTATTTTTCTTTTTTTCTTTTGGTCAGACGCCTCACAGGGGCCTTACAGTTTATAAGTCAAAGTGTGGGGGAGGAGTACTTGAGAACAACCATTGGATGAGTTATCGTGCCCCCCTTGTACCTGAGCCTCACGACCAGACTTGGCGTCAGACATCAGAATTTGACATTCATCAGGCCACCATGCCAGCTCTAGGGGTAGTGACAGTGGGACTTGGGATGCAAATTCACTTGTGAATTTTTTTTTCCTCTCTCTCTCTTTTTCATTCTTATTTGAAGCTGTATTTTGTGTTTTCTGATTATAAAACATTAGGAATACTTACTGTGTATACTAAGAAAGTACCAGGATTTTTTCCAAACCATTTACCCCACTGCTCAGTCACCCAGTGAGAGCCGTGGTTCCCATTTCCTCTGTATGTGGGCTCAGTCTCAGCACATCCCAAGAGGTCATGGGTACCACTTTGATAGTAGCTTGGAAAGAGGCCACCAAGTGTGAGGGACTTCAATCTAGAATGAGACAGGGGAAGGGCATTGACCTCTATCTTAATCCCACTGCTGCATCTTGTTGTAAAGTGACAGGTTCTAAGAACATCAGAGTGGGCTGGACTAACTGTGTGCTCAGCCCAGCTCCCCCAGCAAAGAAAAACACTCAACACACTTAAGAGCAGTAAACTGAACCATCCAGCATATTTGCCATAAGAACTTTAAGAGCTTTTATTATCCAACAATAAGAACAACTACAGTCTCCAGTCCTAAACACCTTACTTTAACTTCACAGTGACCACCTGCCTTCTGCAGTAAAATATCCCCCATTTTACACACACCAAAACTGTTTATACAGCTAACGGTGTAAGACTTGGTATTTAAACATTTGGCTTGTCTAAATCCAGCCCCGAACTGTTCCTAACCACTGTGTTCTTCAAGTACTTCCAAAAAGTCCAGTCACAAAACAAACTGAATGCACGGAGGCCCACCTGTACCACATGGTGCTATGAGCTCCAGAATGTTCTCAAAAGGCCCAATTCTATGCTCTGTCTCTGGCATAGAAACCTAGAGCAGCCTCTCCATGCAGACATTACCTTGTAAGGTCTTGTCTAGGATACAAAGCTACACGCTCACCTGTGAAGAGAGTAAACAACCTCTTGAACAGCAATCCTGAAGAAGTTAGCTGTCAGTTTCAAAGAGGGTTGTACCTCCATCATTTCTCGAGTTGTTCTTGTTCCTGGCCTAGGTCCTTAGGGTTATGAAAGGATATTTCAAGAGTCTCCAGCAGCCAATGGTGGGCTATCATGCACTCCTCAAAGCAAATACCTTCAATCTGGAGAGTTTGCTGTGCACCTGTGTTCTACCTTACCTGTCACCTGACATATTTAAGCTAATTTGCCACCGATCTGGTGAAGAGAAGAGCTTATCTTTCTGTTCTGGGATCTTCCAGAGTCTGGTTACTATTGCAGTGATTAGCTCCCATGCTCTTATTTTTAAAATGTTACCAAGACTATTAATTCTTGCTAAGTGAGCTAGAGAAAGCTACATTCACTTGCATTAAGGTATTAGATTTATAAGTGGAAATCTGAACTCAGCTAGTGAAACCCATGAATAAATAAAACTGTATACCATTATCTCCTTAATTAAGTCCCAGTTAACTCATGACTTCATCTTATATTGGGAGAATGTAGACAAACAGCCCAAAGTGAAATTTTAGGTTCTCAACAGTAAGATATTTGAATTCTGTTCTTCATGACACTTAGCCTGGTATGAACAGCATTTCCTAGACATCTCAAAGTATGTTTAACCACACCCAGTATACACCCATCACAAGTATCTGCTGCTGACCAAGTGAAGACCCCACCCACAGGAGAGTTGCTTGCTGCTGAAACAGTTGGCACCCAATAATTTGCTCCAATAGCCTTAACTTCTTTCAAGCAAAAATTCCCTTTGCCTCACATAGAGCAGTTTCACTGAAGTGCAGGTACTTATTCTTGGCATCTATGTGGTCCCCTGGAAACATTCTGTTGGCCTGCAGCAAGTGTGGAAACCAGGGAAAGATAAGAGTTAGGTTCAAAATGACATGTCCCACCTCAGAAAACTAACACACTGCCAAACTGTGTTACTCAAAATCACACACACACACACACACACACACACATACACACATACACACACTGACTTTGAGCACCTACAGTTGTTTCTTAGGGTTACTGTTGCTATGATGAAAGACCATGATGAAAAGGAACTTGATGAGGAAAGAGTTCATTTGGCTTACGTGTCCTGAGATAAACCAATGCAAGAACTCAAACAGGGCAGGAACCTGGAAACAAGAGCTAATCCAGGAGACATGGAGGGATGCTACTTAATGACTTACTACTACTCATGGCTTGCTCATCTTGCTCTTCTATAGAATCTAGGAGAACCACTGGCCCAGGGTGGTACTCGCAAAATGGGCAGAGCATGCTCCCATGTAGGCCTGGCTAACAACCCAATCTTATGGAGGCATTTTCTCTGTTGAAATTCCCCCTCTCAATTGACAATATCTCCTGTCAAGTTGACATAAAAGTTGTCAAGGGAGGTTGAATTGACCAAATTAGTTGCTGATCTTAGGGAAATGGCGGTTGGCTTCGTCTGGCAGAGCAAAAAACAAAGCTCAATGAGGTAACTCAGTCCTACTTAACCTTATGAGTAGCAGAGCTCGGATCTGCTGAAGATCTATTGGAGTCCATGACCTCTGACTCTATCAGTTGCCATCACCCACCTCCACTGCCCCCAACCCCTTCCAAACAGACACATAGGAAGAGACACAATACATATACCTGTGGTCTTCAGAAACTGATAAAACTGCAGGTTGAGAGCAGCAAATGGGCCAGGAGCATGTGAAAGTTGCCAATAGTGGTAGCACAACTTAAGTCTTAAACAGGATCACCCAGTGTTCTTCACATCTTCCCTCTTGAGAGTAAATTCTAATTAAGGGTAAAATGAAAAGATTATTGAAAATCAGAGAGGATGAAGGTATACAAATATGATCCTGCCCCCATAACACCTGAAACCCATGAGCAATGTCACAGAAGCATTTGGAGCATTGATTCAGTTGTTAGATACTCATCAGGCCCTACACATCCCCTTCTAGATCTTGAGGTTCTGGCCAGCAGGGATTAACCAATGTGTCGTTTAGCTTCTATACATCCCTGTACTGTCTACCTACATAATCTATCAATCCTATTGCTTCACTAAGAGTAATGAGACTTAAGTAAGGAGTTTATAAAGAAAAAGGAAAACAATTAACTTTCAAGGAATAACAGTTTCCTTTTACTTTTGGATACACCTGCATCAAAAGACAGTCTTTAGCATCATATGCAGTATCAATTGCCTTGTGGTAGATAGCATCTTAGAGTTTAGCAAACTCAGAAGCTCTTTCAGTTTGAGTTGTTACAAGTACCTTGCAAGGTAGAATATGTACAACTTTTTGAAACACAAAAGCTGGGTCTCAGAGAGGTAAAGATCCCACTTATAGCTGAGAAAAAGGCATCGGGACACAACTCAGCCTTTTCACACAGTCATATGGCCCTGGTGACAGTCTTCATCCCAAGCATTACTAAAAAGAGGTCTTGAATTTCTCTTCTGAAGCTTATGTTTGCCTGAGCTCGATTCAGAGTATAGACACATGAACAAACATTTTGGAATACTCCTACAGCAAAAGATAGTCCTAAGATAGGATGAAACACCCCTGTCCCCAAAACACTTCCTACAAAGCTCTACTGTTTAAGAACATATGTCTATCTCTACACTGTTGCTTCTGTCTTCTAAAAATATGTTAGGCATAACATCTACTTAGTACTCAAGAGAAACTTTGTAAGTGGGCCTGCCAAACATCATTTTTAAAAAGACTGCTTACCAAATACTAAGAACACTTAGATTAAGAAATATGTGTGCAAGATGTCAGGGTGCAGGAGAAGGGGCAAATTGTATGCAAATTGTGGTAGTCCATAGTCTATCTGAGACTTCAGGAGACATATATCCTTTGGAGTTAAACACACCATTTGTACTTTATGATCATGGACATGCCACTAAAAGAACTTCAGTCTTCACTGAGCTGTTAAGAGGGCCTACTGTCAAAGCTAAGCATGAGGATAATGCCACATATATAAAGCACTAGCACAGATCTTGGCCAACTGAAGCAAGAGTAAGAGTAGGATAAACATATGCAGTTGGTGGTGGTAGTGGAGGCATGTGCGGGTATGGAGGAGGGGCAGTAACAGTGTCTCCACACTTAGGACATATAAGCAGTACAGAGGCAGGGCTCACGATTCCCCTCTTTAAACAAGAGAAGCAAGACTTACCCCCAAAGGCTCTCTTAGGATGAAAAATGATTCTGAGATGGATTTGGCTTCTCAGATTCAAAGTCCTTTGAGAATCTCAAAATCTGGAATGAGGTGCTGGTCTAGGAATCCAGGGATATTGGTTTTATGTTTTGCTGTGTAAAGGAAGTAGGTAGAGAAGGGTGGAGGATATGGAGGTGGGGATGGGTGGATGTGGAGGCAACTGGTAAGAGAGGGGTTATGGAAGTGGTGGGGTGTGGAGGTAGCTTGGGGAATGGAGACTGTGGAAGCTGGGGAGATGTGAAGGCAGCTGGTGGGAGAAATGTGGAGGTGGGAGTATGGAGGCAGCTGGAGGAGGAATGTGGAGGCAGAGGAGCATCTATCTAAAGCAAGAATTACTGGAAATTCCTTGGAATGATTTTACAACCTGCTGTTTCTAACCGAGCGACAGTTCTGAACGAGAACTGTCTGAACATCCGTTTCACCTCTTAAGGTTTGGGGCCAGGTAGTTCTCCATGCATCCCGAACTTAGGACTGAAGATAGACAGGTCCCTGAGCACCAAGCTCAGTGTGCATGTCAGCCTCTGTGTGTCACCTGTGTTTCATATGCTTGTCATGGACAGCCAGAAAAGTAAATCCAAGAGACTTTTCAAAAACCACCAGAGACAATCAGTAACAACTCTACTGTAACAGGCCCCAGGGACAGTCCATTCAAAGCACTTGCTGTGTTTCCATTATAAAGATTCAATACACAAAGGACTCATGTTCTTTACTCATGATACATATATGGTATAGTGATGACGTTAGCACTGGGGATTGACATACAGTCAACAGCATGATTCTCTTACCTGTGTTTAAAAAGAAAAATATAATGTGGAAAAAGCAATCACCTTCCTCTGAGTTTAAACTTCCATTTTCAACATGGGCATAAATTCTGACCATAAATCAAAAACAAGAAAATGTATCTTAAGTCCTATGTGTACATGATCAAAATGAAGCACCCCTCCTAGCCAGCCAAGAGTCTCACGAGTTCACCTTCCATCAAGGATTTACCTTTCACTGGGTGTCACATGACAACACAGTACCAAGCTTCAGCTTCTGCCATCAACCATAGTTCAACTGAGGAACTTTTTTCTTTATTGAAAGAAAAAGAAATGTGTTGTGCGAAAGGTTTAACATAGTAACTGCAAAGAAAAAGGAAAAAATTGCATCCATGCCAGACATCGCCCTGTGTGCTGCCGCATTCTGGCTGCCTGGGTTTCCTGCTGCTCCTAACACCCATCTGTTTTCCAGGTGCATCTTCTCCTGCTCGGCCAGCCACCCCCTTAGTTCCTTGCAGCAGCACCACTCCGCCTCCACCTCCTCCCCGGCCTCCATCCAGGCCAAAGCTACCTCCAGGAAAGCCTGGAGTCGGAGATGTGGTATGTTCCTCCCTGCCCTAGCTTGTTCAGAATGAGATCCCCAGGTCCCTTAACACTGGGCATCTCAACTTCAGATCTAAGCAGTACAGCACTTATACAAATGACCATTGCAGGGGCCAGCTGAAAAGAAGTAGCTGCCGTATGAGGATGCCTTTTCCACACTCCTCAGATTTCTCCCAGCTTTCAAGCCAAGCTCTAAAATGGTAGGAATCGGATGCTTGGGCTGTTAGCTCTGAGGCAGCAGCTGGAGGCAAACATGGATAGTGATGGTCAGTCATGTGAATCTTCAGCAAGAAAAAAAGGGATTCTTTTTTACAATAGTTGTTTTAGGTACTAGAAAACTGTGAGAGAGGAAAAAATGGTTCCTGGGCTGGAGAGATGGCTCATCAGTTAAGGGCACTGACTGCTCTTCTAGAAGTCCTGAGTTCAATTCCCAGCACCCACATGATGGCTCACAAGCATCTGTAATGGGATCTGATTCCCTCTTCTGGTGTGTGAGAAGACCCAGCACTCGTATGTATTAAATACAGATTAAAAACAATTCTGGCTTCTGGCCCCAAAAGCCAGATAAATCAGCAGAAGAGATCCGACGACATAAATGTAGAATAGTGCCCTGTAGATGTTCTACGGTCGTGTCCTTGAATTTTATCCTGAGATTGAGGCGTGGGAATGGTCTTCTCAGTGGTTCAGTTAATAAGCTTGTGGCAGAAGTAAATCTCATTGACCTCTGTGTAACAGTCAAAGAATGAATGACATCATAACCTTCAGATGCTGCCTTGAAACCTCTTTATGTAGGAGTGCATCCATTTAGGTCCTGGGGCACCCGTAGACATCTTGTGTGAGCCAGAGTGACTACTGAGCTCACAGGCTGGGGCGTATGGCTCCTTGCCCTAGATGCAGCACATTGGCTTTGTATAAATACAGTCCTGTCTAGTGAAAATGGTGTCGTGGCTTTCAAGAACCTGGGTTTTCATATCCAGGGCTGAGAGCCAATAAAGATACAGAAACCAGGCTTGGCAGGATGGCTCAGTGATGTTGGCACTGGCTGCCAAGACCTGGCTTCAATCTCTGTAGCCCACACAGGAAAAAAGTTGTCATTTGACCCTTATGTGCACTCCATGACATGTACACACACATGAACATAAAATAAATAAAATACAGTAAGCATCTTAAAAGACTGAACTGAAGTATTTTGGCTGTCTGTGTCTAACTTTCCTCTCTTTTCTTCTCCCTACAGTCCAGACCTTTTAGCCCACCCATACACTCCTCCAGCCCTCCTCCGATAGCACCCTTAGCCCGGGCTGAAAGCACTTCTTCAATATCGTCAACTAATTCACTGAGCGCAGCCACCACTCCCACAGTTGGTAAAATGATCTCTCTCTTTTCATGTGTTTGTGGTTGTTGACCAGCTGTCCTTTATGATCTGAGCGCCCCAGGCCCCGTTTCTAGTCTTAATTGTTGTTGCTATGTGTTTGCTACTATCACCTGGTTCTTCTCTTGAAAGCACTTTCTCAGCTAAGGAAGCCAGCGCTTTAGCCATACAAATTAGCAGTTTACAGAAAGTCAGAATGCATGTGTTTTGTAGGAGTTTTCTTATGTTATCCCATGCAGATAGACTCACAGAAGAACTCACCAAAGAAGGTGCTAATATTTGGATGTTTCTCGTAACAAGAAGTATTCTCCTTTGAGAGAAAATGTTGAGATCAGAAGTAATTTTTTCTTTTTTTGATCTTGTAAAGTTCGCTTTCTTGAAACTTTCGATTCTTCATCATTTTTGGTTATCTGAGGTAAACATTGGCATTGGGATACTTGAGAAATTTTTTCACATTGCTTTTCAGTGATACGTGGTCAGTTTCCCCCAGGGTGGGGGAACTATCATTTCCAGCAAATTCCCCTGTACCTCTGGGTGTGCACTGTGATGAAAATGAAGGGCGACTCAGAGGGTGGTCCCTCACCACCACCACCTCCCATCTTCCCCTGTGCTTCTCTTCTTTACTGCATGCTGTCTGACCTGGAGCTTTCCCTTCCCACTTCCCTGTGTGCCCTTGCTCCCTCCCCCTTTTCTGACCTGCTCTCCAGTTCTTCCATGCTGTAAAGCACAGGCCCATTCTGCACTGCTCGGGGGAATTGTTCACTCAGCTCAGTGGATTCCTGCTGCTACTCCTGGAAGAGCACATCACAGAATCACCCATTTGAGAAATAACTAGATAAAGCCAGAAGCTCTTCTAGAGAATAACTGCCCACTTTTTCCCAGAAAAGCAAATGAAGGTGTGCCTCTAAAAAAATCACAAAGGGAATAATTTCAGCTCTATCATCTATTCTATACTTTAAGCCAGATCATCCCCCACCCCACCCCACCACACCAAACACACACACACACACACAAACACACAGAGAGAAACCTTCAAGTTTGGCTTAAATTAATAAATTGAAAATATAACCACTTTCCTAATTTCAGATGAATTTTTGTTCCTTTTGGCCTTTCAAGACAGTCATATGTATCTCAGCTCATGTAACTTCTTAACAGACAGATTTTTTTTTAAGATTTCTTATATAGTTTATCTGTTCCCTTTCTGTATCAATTATGACAATTTTCGAGCTCCTGATTTTTAATGTATATTAGTAGTATTAGCTCATTTCTCTGATTCCTTGATTTGTTCATTTTTGTAATTACTAACCTTCCCCCCGCCCCGCCATCTTCTTCTTGATTTCAGCAGCCATTTGCCCAAATCCTGTCCTAATGTTAGGCTTCCTCAAGTTCATTCATTCCATACACTCCATTTGATTTGATTTGTTGGGAAAAGAAGGAATTAAAGTGAGTTGTCACTTAGAACATAACCACACTCTGCCTCACATGGACCGGCCTGTGTGTTCTTCTTTATGCTCACTGTCATTCCTGGAGAGAACTGAGCACAAGGAATCTGAACGCTGTTCATGCTTTTGAACAGTGTTTTTTTTTATACTCCCTGCTGCAGAGATCTCCAGATACAGCCAGCAACATTGACCCTCCTTGTACCTTGTGTATTTTCTTTCAAGATGAACCTCAGAGGGCTTGAACAAAGGAGACAAGTAGGAAGCTGGCTGAAATGTCCCCTGCCAAGGCGTATCCTCATCTGCCCCCTAGATTCTGTTGTTTAAAGTTCTCACCCACCTGGTCTTTATTTCTGTCTGCTTTGGGTCGCATGACCACCACTTTTCTCCTAAGTAACTCTCAACAAAGTGACCAGCCAGCAGCATCTTGTGTGACATTGTTTCTGGTTTTCCCCAAAGGCTGTGTTTTGCCTAAAATAACAATTCACATAAGCAGTGGATTGGAGGAGGTTGAAAATTCACAGCAATTTCCTTAAACTGGCGGAAGAGCAGTCCCCTCCCACTCCCACAACACTTGCCTGCTGTTTCCTGTGCCTTAGTGTTGCTTCTGGCACAATTACATGGGTACGGACAAGACGCTCAAAGTCATACATGAACTAAGATTTTTGAAGCAAGACTGTGCCACATTTGGTAGTGTACCTCGGGAAGCTGAGGCAGGGTGAATCACACACTCCTGAGCTACACAGTGAGATCCTATCTCCAAAAATAAAATAACAGCAACTCTAAACTCTCCCACACACAATAATTCATAAGAAAATACCCATAAAGAACTTTATGTGTGAATATTTTTACAAGAGCTATGATCCTAAGGTAGTGAACCCAATGAAGAAGATAGTAGTTTCTGTGTAGCATTACCCCAAAATAATGAAGAGTTCTTACACACTGTATAACTTCTAACTTAAAAATTCATCAATTTGTGCTCCCTTCGGCAGCACATATACGAAAGTTGGAACGATACAGAGAAGATTAGCATGGCCCCTGTGCAAGGATGACATGCAAATTCGTGAAACATTCCATATTTTTTTAAAAGAAAAAGAATTCATCAATTTTTAAAATACCATTATTTTTTATATGACTAAAAATTTTATATCTCAAATGTGTCAGGGTAAAACTTTTCTTAGATACTGACAGTGTGATCCACCCCGGTTGTAGACAGCTGAGAATGTGGAAAACAATGTACTTTTAGAATGGAGGAGACATGTAGATGATTCTTGTGCTAGAAAATGCCCACAGGACCAGCGCTATGTTATTTAGGGGAGGAATAAATCTATTGCTGTTAATAGAATAAAGAAAGTGTTTGAAGTTGTAAGAATCAGATGAGAGCTAGCAGGAGAGATATCGGAGCCTGATCTCGCCTTGCAAATATCCACTTTATTACCTGCTTCTTGTTTCAGTGAGTGTGAGAAGTTTCATGTTTGTTTATCTGTTTAGATGTTTGTAAAATATTTCCTAGAATGTCACTGGAAAATGATGAAAGACAGGCATTTGCTTCCCTGTTAATTATAACAGGGCAATTCCCTGGCAATTATGCATTTTGATTTGCATCTTTAGTGTGGCAGGAATCTGTGACAAAGGAAAAGTAACAAAGTGAGTGTCTGTCAGATAGACTTAGCGGTTTTCTTTGGTCCTTAACTTGATTAAAAGTGACTTATTCTAATCAATGTAACATAAAGTATTTTCTCTAATGGGGTGGCAATTCTAAATTTTATAACCTTTCTTGGAGGAGTTATATTCATGCAGAGTTAGTCTGCAATGGAAACAAACATTGTATTTTGTGAAGCATCTGTACCTATATGCCCATTTGATGGAACAGGCGCTCCCCTGAGTCATTCCACCAGCAGCGGAGCTAAGAGTACAGTACTGACAATTAAGATCCTGGAACCTGGGGCTGCAGAGACGGCTCAGTGGTTAAGAATCTAGTTCCAAGGAATCCAGTGCCCTCTTCTGGCCTCTGAAGGAGCTGGTATATATATGGTGCACAGACATACATGCAAGCAAAACACCCATACGTACAAAATATATTAACTGGTTAATGTATTTATTTTAAAAAGTGCTTGGTGTTCTTCCAGAGGGCCCAAGATTAATTCTAAACAAACTTAGTTTGTCTGATGGTATACAAACCTAAAATCAACTCCGGAAGAAAATTCTAGCGCCCTCTTCTGGCTTCCTTGGGCACAGCATGCACTTACTCTTCACCCACCTTGAGAGACACACACACACATTTACACATTCATATACATACACTCACACACATTTACACATTCATATACATACACTCACACACATTTACACATTCATATACATACACTCACACACACATTTACACATTCATATACATACACTCACACACACACATTCACACACAGACACACTCAAACTCACATTCACATAAGATTTTTTTAAATCTTAGAACCTAAAGAACTGAAAAGGAAAAGTTTTCCTACCATATACCCTAAGTCTAGGCAGCAGGTTAATAGAATGACTTCCAGAAGCATCACTGTTCATGAAACATTTGATGGATCCTAATTTCTGTGCTTAACTTTTCTGCAGTGTGGATAGGTTTCCCCATTACTGGTTTTATTTGCCTAATCTATTAAGGTTCTAATAACACCTTTGAAACCTGGGGCATTATTTTTTTATTTCATATAGTAAAATAAAAGTTCCATATATTTGTAATTTGGTAAGAAGAGAGATTGGGTAAAGATCCAAAATAGTTGAGGTTCAAAGTCCCAGGTCATAAAGCTGTGGCCAACTTCCAGAGATGTTTAGCCACAATTGGAACCATGATCAAAAATACCAGTATGATACCACCATTCAAAATGAATGATCTTTAACTGTCAAAGGCAGGTACAAGCAAATTAATGACACCTCTCACAAGGGAACACTGGATTTATACTGCTTCTTTGTGGTCAAGCTAACTCTTTTCTTCCTGGTGGGACCGTATATGTGAGGTGATCTTATTGAGCTGTCAGGAGTGTGCTGGGGTTTGTGTTGATGGACATACATCTGGCCCCTTGAGAACTGCATTGGAGGGAAGTATTCTTGCAGAAATCAATTATTAATAATAGTTCCTAGACAGTGGGGCATAACCCCTTCCCTGCAGCTGATTTCCACCACATTGACAGATGCTAAACCCTAACTTTTTTTAATTCAATTTTTTCCTCATAGAATCATCTCAAATACACTCATCAATTTCCATCTTCATCCTAATCCCAATGTCGTAATTTTAAGTTCTTTCCTTTTCCCATGAAAGTCATCCCCACCTTGATCGGTTAACTGCGCTTCTCGGTTTTCCTTTGGAATCTGTCCTTGTGTTTTTGTTTTCCATTCGTTTATGTTTCTTTGGTTTGTAGTGTCAGAAGATGATGTTTTTTATGACAAACTGCCCTCGTTTGAAAGGCGCTGTGACACGCCTGCAGGTACGGTGCTGGCTGAGTGATTTCTAGATACTTAGATTTTTCAAATCCAAGCTGTTTTCCATCTGAATGCTAGAAGCTTCATAGGCCTGCTCCTCACCTCATGAGTCCAGTGCCTCTCAGATGCACCCTGTACATGTCCCATCCATTGCAGAACCCATGTCACTAAACCTATCTTATGGGGACATTTTCTTATAAAGCAGCAGGTTGCATGACAGTTTCTCAAAAGAGAAGAGGCTCAAACCAAGTGAGAGTCATTGCTGTGTGAATTTTCAGAGGAAGGAGTGATTTACGTACCCAGAATCTATTGTCTGCTTTCTGATTCAGCAGTTAATGGGGCACCATTGGAAATGTCTCTTCTCTTTGATACAGAAGTAAAGGGTGTGTTGTGACTGGATGCCTATGGCGGTTCCCAGAGAGGGACAGGAGATCTCTGACATCATCTGCGGACTTTAAATTGATATGCAATGCTGTTGTCATTGAAAAGCTAAGCAAATGTCGAATACAAACCACTAGCCAAGTTTATTGTTTGTGCCAACAAGCAAGGGGATGACATTGAAAATGAAAACGATACAGCAATTGCTGAATGAAAGTTTGCCCAAATTAATGCAGTTGAAATATGCTGACACCCTTGCATGGCCAGGAAGACATCTGCTCCATGTTTACAAGTGCCTAGCCTCAAGCTACCTACATGCGTGTCATCCCTTCAGTCTCCATAGCTTCGATTTTTGCTTTGTTTGCTCAATTTTAAGGAAAAGAAAAAACAAGCAACTCTAGACTACCAGCCTTCCCTTTTTCCTGCACGCTAACGGCATGCAGTGCCCCCACCCTTCCTTGTAGTGAGATTAATTACCTGCTCTGTAACTCACGTCGTCTCCTTCTCTCTCCCTTTCCTTAACCTTCCCCATCCCGCTTCAACTCCTGGCCAAACAGAGAATGAACAGCCCTCCCTCGTTTGGTTTGACAGAGGAAAGTTTTATTTGACTTTTGAAGGTAAGTAGTGCATAGCATACCAGATTCTAATTCATAGTCTCCTCTTCCTGTGTTGTTTTTATTCTCATTTTAAAATCCCCAGTTTTCCTCAAAATTTCTGATCGTGCTTTCTCCACTGAAAATGCTATGGCTACTTAGAAAGCATCAAACACTAAAGAAAGCATTTCATGAATTTGGTTTGTATGTGTTCTTCAATTTTCCACATTGAGCAAATTAAAGCTGATTTGCAGTTGACATTGGTTACTTAATTAACGATGGCCAATTTAAAGCAGAACAAAATGGAACCTTCTTTGGCTAAGGAACTTGACTCTGTCAACCAGGCTCTTGCCTAATCCTTTTGCAAGTGTGTGTGGCAAACTCAAGCACGTTTGGGGTTGGTTTAGAAAACGGACGTTCCAGATATAGAATCCAGTCCTGTAAACTATAAATGTGCGCGTGGGTGCGCGAGTGTGTGTTTATGTTGTGAATGTTCATGGAGGAATCAGAAACAGAAGCGCGACAAGGAGTGTTAGGGGAAACTTTGGTCTGCATCTCCCAAAACTACACTGTAATGGCTGCAATAAAGTAGACAACCAATGTTAAACTTGCCATTCTAGAAGGTTAAGAGAAACACATAAAAATAATATCAAGTTTCTAAGCTTAAGGTTTGACTGTCTATTACAACCTCTATCAAGGGCTGGCAGTCTTCTTTGTTTAACTTCTAACTCACCTTTATAGGCTGGAAATTTGATTAGATGGCACACTTAAACTACCAGTGAGGCGCCGGGCGGTGGTGGCACACGCCTTTAATTCCAGCACTTGCGAGGCAGAGGCAGGAGGATTTCTGAGTTCAAGGCCAGCCTGGTCTACAGAGTGAGTTCCAGGACAGCCAGGCTTACACAGAGAAACCCTGTCTCGACAAACAAAACAAATCAAAAACAAAAAACAAACAAAAACAAAAAAAAACCCACCAGTAAGGGGAAACTAAGTACTTTACCTAATTAATCAGCCATTTTATGCATAAAGCCATTTTATGCATTTTATACATTTATCATATAAGGTCTTATTTTTGTATAATTTTAAATAGTGAAGTTTATACCAGGGTCAAAAGTTGGTAAAAAAAATAAATAAATAAATAACAATAATATGTATATGTAATTTTTTTCTTTCTAGAATTGTTATCAATATTGAACATGTCTTCGTGTTTTGTGACAACAGCAGGAACTTGAGTATGTTTTAGTACAGATTTAAAAATTGTAGTGGCTGAAATATATGAAGAGTATGAAACACAGGAAAACAAAATTCACCCAACAATGAATTTTTCTTGTAAGATGGGAGCCCTTAATGCAGAGTAGCTTGTACAGCTTCAGAAAACATGGTCTATCTCAAACCTTTCCAGTGTCCTGAAGCCTTTTTCCAGTGTGAGCCGAGAACAGGTACTAGGTGATTTTCCTGAGAAGATTCCCTTTTTCCCATGTACCTTTGTTACTTGAAGCCATTAATTTTGTAATAAGAAAGATAGTAAGCCCACCAACTCATGATCCCCTAAATTTTCTCTTCCAGTCAGCAGAAATTAAAGGGTCCGGGTAAGACTGCTGGACTGAGGGACCCTTATAATCCCAGCATAGAGAGCCTGATGCATTTGAGGGTAGTCAGGGATTACCTTTTTGGAAAGAAGCTTTCCAAAACCAAACAAACACGAAATATGCAGTCATCTTTTTACTGTCGGGTACATCAGTAAAGTGATTGAAGCAGCTTTGGGATACGTTGCTTCGGGATGGATTAGAAGCTAAAGCACACACAAGCACATACCTGGGTCTGCCAAGGCTCTAACTGTCATTCAGCTGAGCCGCTAACAAAATCTACACTCGCTTATTTAAGCCAGGAAATCAACTAACGTAATAGAGCATCCTATATAGAGATCAGTCTCTAGGAGGTTTCACCTCGGGAAACCTGAAAAGATGGCAAAGATTATTTTCTGTTGTCAAGATAAAATGATGTAGAAATGGCTGTGTTGGATTACATCTTAAGACCACGGCCCCACTTCAATGTTTTATACTCCAGAAAGCCATTCATCACATTCTGTTGAATAACATTAACAGAGTCTCTAGGACACTCACATTTGGTCACATTTATTTTGATTAATCCCATCTTTCTTCAGTGCTTCATCCGGAGAAAGAAGCGCATGAAGGTTCTCCTGTCAAAATCTTCACTTGTTTTAAGAAGCTTTGTATTTATTTACTGATTTTTGAATAACATTTTTGTGTTTAAAACTTTATTGTTCATTTTTTCCTGTTCATATTTGTTCTTAATCATAATTAGGATTCTATACTCACTCCTATACTAGTATTCTATACTCAAATGACTTTGAGTCATTGACCAGTCTGTCAAGTAACTAATGAACATTGACCAGTGAGTTTAGTTTGAAAATACATGAAGTACCTCAGACTTGCTAACAAATGAGATACAAACTCTTAGACCAGGGTCATAAATTACAGTGCTTCTAAATATACCTCAATACTTCTAAAAATATATTTTATAAATATTTTACTAGAAAATTTAATATATTGTATACTGAGCTTATTAAATTATTTAAATGCTAGTAACTTTTTAAATCAACCAAAAGAAAATCCAGGGTCCGAGAATAAATCTCAGTTTGGTAAAGACTTATTCCACAAGTATGAGGACCTAGCACCCACCTAAAGACGCAGCACCACTGTTCCCACTATAATCCCAGCAGTGTGGAGGTGGAAACAGAAGGATCTCAAGAATCACTCTAGCCAAATGGTTAATTTCAGGTTTAGGAAGAGACTCTACCTCAAAAGTAGGGTGCAGAGCAATTGAAGAAGATACCTCTAGCCTTTGTCATATACCCACATGTCACATCCATACACAAGGCACACACCTGCTTGAACACTCACAAACATATGCACACACACACACAAGTGTGCCTGGCTGCTGAAGCCATCAAGTACCCTCAGGTAGAACGAAATGATATTTCCATAACAAACCACTGTGCCTAATAGATATTTCAATTCTGTAGTGCCTTTTGGTATCAAAATGTTTCCAAAGCTGCATTGCCTTTCTCTTTGATGGCTCTTTAAACTATAAAGTCGCCTTGCATCTGGTGATGAAAATCAAAGAGCAGCAAAAAAAATCCTTGCTGCCATGAGTCGTCTTCTGTCTCAGACCACCTTGGTCACCTGTGTCACACTGTCCTTTGTGGCCCGGCATCCTTGGCACCACTCTCTACATTTTCATTCTCTTTCCCAAATTCACATTCACTTCCCTAACTGAATCCCAGCTCTCTCCAGGGACCCACCTCTCTCTGAAGCAGTCTCCACAGGATGTGTTTCACTTGCCTGTGGGCCATATGCCATGGGGCTGAGAGTCACTCCCGACATTGGTCATTTGATCATCTATCCGATCACTCCACTGGCTTTCCTTGACCCTTGACCTCAGGGCCTCCCTCTGCATTCATCTGTGAAGGACCAGTAACTTCCTTTTAATCATCTTCATTTTCAAGTGTCGTCTCTACTGGTTCTGTGGGGATGACCCATCCAACCCATGGTCTCCAGGACCTCTCCAGTTTCTTCATCCCCAACTTGTTGCTTCCACTCTGCTCAGCATCAGCACCTTGAAAACAATGCTTCCTGGCAGGGTTCAGTTTAGCCATTTCGTATCTAAAACTTGTCATAGGTCTTACATAATAGGAACTATGTTGAGCAATAATTCTCTCATTCAACAGCATCTGTTGAGCATTAGATGCACACAAGTGCCTTGCTGACCACTCCACACTAGGGGAAAAGAAAAGAATCCCTGTTGCTACATAGCTTACTTCTAGCATACACAATGAAAATAAAGAGAGAAATAAATATCTATAGTATGGAGATGGTAATGAGTTCTATATGAGGAATAAAATATGGAAAAGGGTGGACCGTATTAGGAGAAGTGAGAAAATAAATAGCAAATAGAGCAATGCCCAAGCATTCATTGTGCAGGAAGTACCTCTGTTCTCATTTCACCTACAGAAGCCACTGCTGAAGAAAATGAGATTTGGGTAACAGCTTTCCCAAGCCTCATAGCCAGCAGAGTAGAGGTTTCAATTCCACCAGCCTTGAGGGAGACACCCTGCGCCACTCCTCAGCCCACAGTGCTCAGTCTCCATGGCAGAGCAGGGTTTTCCTCCATTCTAGCTCTTTCATTCCCAGACACAGCTTGCCTGTGCCCTCCCCCCAGCCCTGAAACTTCCTCTCCCACCCTTTCCGCTCTGACTCTGCCCACCAGCCCAGTTCTCCATTCGGGTTCTTTTCTATATCCTGATCAGGCCCCAGAGTGTGAAGATACGTTTCTGGATGCACTTTGGTCATCTCTGCAATAAGATAATCGTTTCTCTCTGAACTCATGCTGTCTCTGAGACACAGCACTCCAAATGTCTGACCAAGTTAAACAGGCTTTTCAGTGTCCCTAATTGTCATAATTACATGCAGAAAACACATACCACCACCCTTGTCTGTCTGTCTGTCTGTCTGTCTGTCTCTTTCTTTCGTGTGGTTCTAGGGATTGAACCCATAGTTTCACAACCACTAGGCGTGTACCCTGTCACTGACCTTCATCCCATGCCACTCATTTTTCTTCACACAGACTTGTATTGAAGACCTGTAAGAGTTTGGAAAAGGTTCAATATTTTTCCCCATCACAAAGTTTCTTATTAATTCATTTAGAAGTCATTAGGAAAGGAAAATTGAAAGGTGTGGAGAGTTTTCTGGGAATCACTTGCTTTGCTAAATTTCTAGAGTTTTTCAGATGGGCAGGGTTTTCTAGTTGTACCTACCCTACTCAGGTGAAACAATGCAGTAACAAAAAGCACCAGTTCTAGTCAATCTTCATTCCAAATACAGGCCTAGTCCTTGCCTTTCTGCGATTGTGTGTTGTCTTTGGTACGCTTATGAACTGTACAGTCCTTTCACTTAATAATGAAGCTTGTACAAGGGCTTCCTTCTTTGCTTTAACATACTAAC